CATCATTTCTTCCTTTCACTTTAGCTACTCTACTTTCAAGAGCAATTTTCAGAGTGTCTTCTGACATTCATTTTGGTCTTTTCTTTCTTTCTTGTCTTTTTAATGGCTTCTTGCTTTCTTCATGTATGATGTCCTTGACGTCATTCCACAACTCATCTGGTGTTCGGTCATTAGAGAGCAGTGCCTCAAATCTGTTCTGGAGATGGTCTCTAAATTCAGGTGGGATATACTCAAGGTTGAATTGTGGCTCTCATGGACTTGCTGTAATTTTCTTCAGCTTCAGCTTGAACTTGCATATGAGCAATTGGTGTTCTGTTCCACAGTCGGCACCTGGCCTTGTTCTGACTGATGATACTGAGCTTCTCCATAGTCTCTTTGCACAGACGTAGTGGATTTGATTCTTGTGTATCCCATCTGGTGAGGTCTATGTGTATAGTCACCATTTATGTTGCTGCAAAAAGGTGTTTGCAATGAATAAGTCGTTGGTCTTGCAAAATTCTATCAGCAAGGCCATATTTTCCAGCTACTGATCCTTCTTCTTTGCTTCCAGTGTTCACATTTCAATCACCGGTAATTATCAATGCCTCTTTATTGCGTGTTTGATCAATTTCAGACTGCAGAAGTTGGTAAACATTTTTAATTTTTTCATCTTTGGCCTTAGTGGTTGGTGCATAATTTTTTTTTTCCTATCTCAATAAAATAGATAATGAGACAGAAAAATAAATAAATAAGGATGACAGGCAAGAAAACCCTATGGAGCACAGTTCTACCCTGTAACACACGGGGTTGCCATGAGTCAGAATCGACATGATTAATAATGAGTAATAGCTGTGTAGTGGCATCACATGTTTTTAATTTGCAGTTTCCTAATGACTATTTGTGTTAAGCATATTTTCATGTGTTCATTTGCCACTTATATATCTTATTTGGTGAAATGTCTGTTCAAATGTTTGTTTTCTTATTTTTAAATTTTGAGAGTTTATTTTATATTCTAGATGTAAGTCTTTGTCATGTAGAATTTGAAAATACTTATTCCCAGTGTGGCTTCTTTAACAGTATCTTTTGAAGAGTAGACTTCTTAATTTTACTTAATCCAATTTATCAATTCTTTCTGTTATGGACTGTACCTACATTATGGTGTTTAGAAATCTCTTTGCCTGAGTTAAGGTCATAACATATTTGCCTGTACTTTCTTTTTGAGGTATTATAGTTTCAGGGTTTACTTTTAGGTTTATGGTCAATTTTAAGTTAAATTTTTATATGGGCTTAAGTATGAGTTCAAGTTAATTTTTTCTTTTTGCATATGCACATCCAATTTTTCAGCATCATTCATTGAAAACAGCATTCCTTTTCAACAGAATTACCTTAAAATTTTGTCAAAAATTCATTGAATGAGGCAGGGCCAAAATAATGGAGTAGTCAGATGCTTCCTGTGGTCCTTCTTACAACAAAGACCAAAAAAACAAGTGAATCAATTATATATGACAATCTAGGAGCCCTGAACATCAAAGGCAAAGTTGAGGAATTGGACTGAGTGTCAGGGGGAGGGACAGACAGTTCGGAAGCAACCAGGAGTTGCCAGACCTGACCCGGGGGGAATCAGCACCCTGTAGGCCAGATCAGCTGGCATGTGCAGTGAGGCAAACAGTGGTGTTCAGGATGCGTTTTCCATATTGGGAGAGGTAAAGCAGTGGAGTCTACCCCAGCCTCCAGTGAAAAGTGGTGCTCAATCAGAAAAAGATAAGTATATGCATCAAACCCACTGCGCAAATAAAAAAACGCCCCATTTGGGAAGACCCGCTCTCCCATTTACCTGACTCCTCCCTGCTCTGCACTGGGGTCCTGGGCTGGCTTCAGCCATTGCCGTGTTCCTTGGGCCAGAAGTAGGACCTGTCACGCACCTTGAGTCATTCTCCCGGCCTTGGAGAGGGAAAAAATTAACAAACAGGAAAAAATAATCTGCCAGCTCCCCTAAGCTGGGAACACAGGGCAGGCACAGCTCCTTTCCCTAGACATAGGCATAAGGGATCCATGAACTCTGAATGCCTTTCACCCCTGCATAGACCTGTGTGGGCCCATTTCAACAGCACAGACCCTCATTACCACAATAAAACAGGATATATACCTGAAGCCTAACTTCAGCTGTATCAGCTACATGGTGGAGTGGCAGGTTCATGATGTTTAACAATGCTCCACCCATTAAACAGGGTCCTCACCTACCCACATCAGGGGCCTGAGGACTGGTGGTTCCACTCATGCCACCTAGCCACCTGCAACAGAGGTCCAAGAATAAGTGGCGCAGCACTGGGTTCCCATGGTCTGGCTGCAAAACCCACCACCTATCCACTGTAGGGAACGGGGACACACTTTCCTCCCAGACACTCAGGGGTAGTCTTCAGCTCCCTGCCTTGCTCAGTGTGTGACTCCCTACTGCAGCCAGATACCTGTGCCTACTCCAATCCCCCCTGCCTGTCTAGGACTGTAGGTGAGAGCCTGCACCACACACTTGGTGACTGACTACCTGGACACCTGAGCTGAATCCATACAAGAAAAGTAAACAGACTCCTAGGCTCAGATACCTAGTAACAGATTTAACCACCTGGTGACAGGACTTTAGAGCTTCAAAGGCACCAATAATAAAACTAGCTCACACAAACAGACTATTTGGGCATATCAAAATAAAACAAAACAAGAAACTAGGACACAGTAAGCATACATAGATAAATATAATAACTTACTGATGACTCGGGCACAACAGCCAATATCAAATTACATAAAGAGGCAGACCCTGATGGCTTCAGCAAGCTCCCAAAACAAAGAATCAAGAAATCTTCCGGAGGAAGGGGACTTCTTGGAATTACCAGAGGTAGAATACAAAAGATTAATATACAGAACTCTTCAGGAGACCAAGAAAAATGCAGAACAATCCAAGGAACACATGGAGAAAGCAATAGAGTATCTTAAGAAGATTAGAGAAGAGCATAATGACAAATTTAACAGGCTGTAAGAATTCATAGAGAGACAGCAAACAGAAATCCAGAAGATTAACAAATAAAATTTCAGAATTAGACAACAGAAGTCATAGGAGCAGAATTGAGGCAAGGGAAGTCAGAATTAGTGAGACTGAAAATAAAGCACTTGATGCCAACTTATTTGAGGAAAAATCAGATAAAAGACTTTAAAAAAATGAAGAAAATTATGTGGGACTCTATCGAGAGGAATAACCAACATAGGTGGATTCTCTGGCAAGGCTCTCACGCTTTTGCTTACTCTGGATCCTGCAGCTGCCTCCTGTTCTTCTGATCTCTGGTTCTTGGGACCTGAGCTAGCAGCTTACCTGCTGTCTTGCCTGCCGATCTTAGGATTGGTTGGTCTTCGCTTCCTGTGAGCAAGAGTCCTGCTCTCTGACCTGCCGATCTTGGGTTTACCTGCCCCTGTGGCTACACAAATCAGGAGAAGCTTCTGCTTCCTGGTTTCTTGGCCTCTCAGTGCCTCTGGCCTCATGCTAACATCTGCTCTGCTGGGGCAAGTATTCCAAAGCTCAGTGGCTCCACTGATAAGTGCCCAGAGACACCCCACTCTGCCAGGAAGCCTCCTGTGCACAGGCACTTAGCTCTCTTGCTCCATCGGTCAGCTCCAGTGCCGTCTCATGCTGGTGTCTGGTTCTGCTGCTGCCGGTTCTCTGCACTGCTGCTTCTCTGCTGCTACAGGTTCTCTGCTGCTGCTTGCCCTCTGCTGCTGCTGCTCCTCTATCCATTCACAGTTTCAAAACCACTTCCACATTTTAGGTATCTGTTACAGAAGCACCGTACTCTCGGTACCAAATTCTGTCTTAGTCTTCTAGTGCTGCTATCACAGAAATACCACAAGTGGATGGCTTTAACAAAGACAAGTGTATTCTCTCACAGCCCAGTAGGCTACAAGTCCAAATACAGGCTCCAGGGGAAAGCTTTCTCTCTCTGTCGGCTCTAGAGTAAGTCCTGGTCATCAGTCTTCCCTTGGTCTGGGAGCATCTCAGCTCAGGAACCTCAGGTCCAAAGGACATGCTGTAGTCCCGGTACTGCTTTCTTGGTGGTATGAGGTCCCCATGTCTCTCTGCTTGCATCTCTCTTTTATATCTCAAAAGAGATTGGCTTAAGACACTGTCTAATCTTGTAGAACTGATCAATGTAGCTGCTGCTAATCCATCTTATTACATCGTAGTGAGTTTACAACACATAAGGAAATCACATCAGATTACAAAATGGTACACAGTCATTTAATACTGGTAATCATGATCCAACCAAGTTGACAGATATTTCTGGGGGACACAATTCAATCCATGACAGAGGACCAGAGTCCAGAATCTCTGTCCCTGCTCCTGGGTTAATTTCATACTCTACCACCTAGCTGCAGAGCACATTAGCAAAAAACCTGGTTTATGGGACTGAATCTTCTCTCTGGCCTATGGATATTGCCCCTGGTGTAGTCCCTCCCCTCTGTGATTGTATCAGAAGCACAAGACATTTCACACTTCCGCCAACACTGATTATAATCAGATCACAAAAGAGGCGGAAGTTCTTGGAGGTAAAAAGTCACAGGCATGAAACTGACTCCTTCCGAGCTACTGCCTAGCAAGAGAAAAGGTGAGTTTTATTGTTGCTACCACTGTTATTTTTTGTGTTTGTTTGTATGTGTGTGTAAGAGTCTCTGCATCTAGTGCCTCTAAGAAAGTTTGCTGAACCACAAAGAGCAGTTTCCAGGACACAAGTCCTAGGAGTTTCATTTGTTAATCTCAAGCCTGGCCAACCTGTCTTCTCATTTCTTCTCCTTCCCTAATTAGCTGCCCCAGAAGAGTTTATAGCTCACTAACTTCTCTCCCATGACACTGCTTTCTCTTCCACCTCATTATCCTGCCCGTCTTCTTCCAGGGCTCTCTAATTTTTGGACACTGTCCCGCTCCTTATATTTCTCCTCTTCCTATCTATAATGCTTCTGGGTAATATGCTTCCTGACAGTGAGGACAATTTGAATCTTTTTCTTCTCTCTACTCCACACTCATACCTTAAACTTTTAGAGTGATTTCCGTTTAGTTCAACTTTTTCTGTATGTTATTAGAAAGTCATTTTTTTAAAAAACTATGACCAGAAATTGGCACTAGATAAGGGTGATAATACATTTGAAAAGTAGTAAAAATTATCTGTAGGAATGAAATTCAACACTCTCATTCCAACCATCCTCCATAATAATGAGATAAAAGTTTCTTTTAAAGAGCAGATTGCTTTGGAAACCTGAGCCTGGCTATGTGTCTAGAGTGTCCTTGAAAAGAAAAGACAAAGAATCAGCACTGAATTTCGTCTGTAAGTCAACCATAAACATATCTGGGATGTATTTTTCAGATACACAAGTTGGAATGAAGAAATATATTACAATTCTGATAATGATTACTTTTCATCATTCCATCGCTAATGAAACACATGAAAGTGGTAAGTTAATATAAGGTAGAAGTCATCTATTTGATCTGAAGGGAACTTTCCCCCTCCTTGAACCTTTTGACATTGGGTTGAGAACAATGATGCACGTATACTGAACTTCTCAATGCAGAAGTAGTTTATAAGCAAAGGATGCCACTGTACTTTTCTCTGGTCACGTTGGATCTGGAGTTCTTTGCTTAGTGCTGGGGAATTCAGTTTGAAAGAAAGATAACAAGGAGCATGTTAATAAGCAGAATTGAGAAGGGTCTGAATACTTTGAATAAGAGGAAAATGTAAAGGACTTAATGATACTTAGTTTTGAAAGGAGAAAACTTTGGAGAAGGTAAGAACAGCTTTTTCAGATATTGGAAGTACTTCATATTCAGCAAGAAGAATAAGTATTGAAAATATTGAAAGAGCAGTTTTAATTTAAAGCAAATAACTTTTTAATTATCACAGCTGCCTGAAAATAGATGTATATATGTGTATAGCAGAGCATGAATTGCCTGACCCTGAAGGTGCTGCAATAGCAAACTAATTAACTACTAATTAGATATTATAAAGAAATCTGTAATCTGATGGAAATTTAGATTAAATAGTGTAAAAAATTTCTTGCAAGCTTGAAACGACTGATATGACTGATAGATATGAATGATTGCTACCTTGCATGAGACATACTTAATCCTGATCTAAAGGATTAATACTCTATGTAGGATTTACTCAGTTTTGGATGCCAGTTGATCATGTTGCCATGTGAGTAGTATAGATACTCAGCACTGAATTTACACCTCCAAAATTGATACAGGCTTTCCATTTGCCTCTCACCTCTGACCTGGTGGACCATTATGGCCTGATATGACCTTAAATTAGTGTATGCAGAGTGTTTTTTGTTGTTGTTTTTTTTTCCCAGACTAAACTTGCTATGAAAAAATAAGAAATAATCAAAAGACATTCTTT